GTCTATTATTAATTATTTTAGCATTAGTTTTTGAAGTTTGAAATGTTCAATTTTCTGTTTTTGCACTTGTTGAAGTAGTAAAATAGTTTTGTATTAATAAAAGTGAGGTAGTGCAGAATACTTAAGAGTATATGGTACTTGTTTGGTTGTTTATTTACTGCTTCAAGACTCTTTGAGTACAATACTCAAAAGTCAAATTGTTTGGTAAGAAAATGTAGACTTTTGGACAGTGTTTGAATAAAAGTCTGTCTTTGAATAGTGGAGAACGAATTTTGTTTGAAATACTTGACAAGATTTGAACCAGAAAGTCTGGCCTTTTGAATTTAAGAGCAGATTTTGTAGAAGATCTGTCAAAAAGATTGATTTTTAATTTTTTAAAATAGCTGGTTGTTTTGATATATAAGGGGGACTCAATCACACTTCCAGGGAGAGGGAATAATTGCTTTGAACACACAAAAACATAAAAATAAAAAAAATCAGCAGTTGAACACATGAAAAGTGAGCTGAAATGGTGAGTTTTGGGAGTGAATCTTAGAGTGCAAACTTTTAGAAAAGTATAAGTCCTCTTTAGAGTTCGTTTCTGGGTTTCCTCTCTAAGTTTTCGGGTTGTTTTAACACGGATTTGCTGCTGGTTTTGCTGCTGTTTTGCTGCTGTTTTTATGCTGCTTTAGTTGCTGAACTACTGTTTATTCTTTTGCTATCCAGGTAATCCTTTAAGACTCGTAACGTACGTATTTTCAGCAATGGGAACAACTTGAACATACTGCACCATTTAAATGTGTTTGATATGATGAATAATTTGACAACAAAAGAGCTTGTATGTTATTGTTATGTATCAAGCATGTGATAATGTGAATATAGTCCTTCATAATACTTGAATATTGAATTGCAAGTTTTTTGAATGTGATATCTAACTATGCCATGAATGACTTTAGATGTATAACACATAACATGCNGTATAACACATAGCATGAGTTCGTTTTAGTTGCTGAAATTTCACTGCCAACATATGCTTCTAGGAATGTTATGATAATTTTTTTTTAATCTGGCCATTTTTCCAGATTTGCAAAAGTGGCTATTTTTGTAAAGTGTGCGTTTATACAATTGTGACTATGTAGTTAATGGTCATAAATGCAAACTAAGTAAAGGACCAAGATTGTATCAACTTTGGGCCTTTTTGAACCAAAAAATAAAAGTTGGCCCATTTACTTTTAAACATCAAAATTACCCCCTTTTCTTCTATATAGCATTGGGCCAATAAAAATCCATTTCTTGGCCCATTTTAATAATAAATTCCAGCAGCCCAAGAGCTCTTTACAAGCTGGCTCATTTTTTTTAACAAGTTGGCTCATTTCTTTTAAAATAGATTAAGTTGGTCCAACTTTTATTTGCTTAATTTTCCCAACTATAAAGCTAGAAAAATAGTCATAATATCAGATTTTTTTACTATTTTTAATTAACTCATTTCCTTTTTAAACGCTAGGCAATTAGTAGGCGCGCTTTAACTCACGAAATCACTTGTGTAGCGTGATGTTTGAATATTCGATAAATTAATTTAATAATCTCATACCATGCCCATTAATTTTAGTTAATTCTTAATTTAGTATATTTTTTTTTGTTAAGATCGCAAATTCGCTTGCGTAGCGCGATAGTTGATTTTTTATTTTATTTTCAAAACAAATCTCTTCANAACCAAATCCTTCAAAAATCCCTCAAACTCCTTGAATCTTAGATCTTGGAAACTTTCCCGTCACCTTTTTGCCCAAATCCTTGAAGCTCCAACCACTTCCACCCCATAATACCTACATCAATGGATAGAGCTCCTCAAGACCTAGCTACTGATGCCAATTTCACCCTGAAAATCCANGTTTGTCATGACTGCGGATTCGCTTGCGTAGCGCCGTTATGACTAAATAATAAATTTCGTCGATTATGCACTCGCTTGCGTAGTGTGGTTATGACATCTTCTTATTAAAAAATATTCTTTAAGTTTTCTAATAATCAAGAGATAAAAGTGGATAGGTAAAAATATGAAAAATAATATAAATCACAGTTTATCCAAAATTAATTTAAGCCAAATGTAGTCAATAAAGCGACTGTGCTAGAACCACGGGACTCGGGGAATGCCTTACACCTTCTCCTCGGTCAACAGAATTCCTTATCCGGACTTTGTTTTCGCAGACCAATAATAAAAGAGTCAAACATTCCTTTGACTAGGGATTCAAATAAAAGGTGACTTGGAACACCAACAAATCAATTCCAAGTGGCAACTCTGAATAACAAAAATAATCCCTATTTCAAAACTGTCACTTTAATTGGAAAAACTCTTTAACCCACAAATTCGTAGCATAACACGTTACATTTTTTACATATCTTTTGGAGGGGTAAAAAAGGGGTGTGACAGTGTCGAACCCCAGCGGATTCTCCGTGGAGTGGAACTTTGCTCGTAAGTGCTTCTCCCACATGGCTGTTTGTCGTTTCTTTTTGGCGATGTGATCGTTCTCCTCGTTTCTCTTTTTTTTCGTAGCCGAAAGGGACCCTCCTTCGATAGTCACCGACATTCGTGACTGGGTGAGTTAGATTTTGCCTCATACGGTGGGGATTCGTGAGTGGTCATAGTTTAATGAGAGGTTTGGGCGCAGACCTGCGCCAGTGAGTCATTTTGCTTTGATCTTAGTAATTTTGACCCTTGTATCGTCCTTTCTTTCCTTGCCTTTTTACTTGTCTTTCTTTGTTGGTAGGTCGAAGGGCTTCGAGGAGGGCGAGGGATCCTACTCCTGCTTTTCGCCAGTCAAGTTCTTCGACCGGTCCTATACTTTCCGTGGCTGCAAGCGAGCCTGCTCAGACCGCTGTTACCCCTTGGACCCCGGCCTCGCATGGGCCTAGCCGCCAAACTGCTGCCCTGTTAGCGGAGGTTCCGGCTTCTACAGTGTTTCATTTGGTGGACGAGTCACACCAGGGCGAAGACGAAGAGGCTCCGCTGAAAAGGTGAAGGATAAAGGTTGATGGAAGAGCGATCGAGGATGAGGAGCCTGTGGGGGTGAACCCGAGTTGACCAAGGCCAAGCCGGGGGGTGGTACGACTTTGGATGCAGAGATCATGCCTCATTCGGATGTAGAGATCACCTCTATGGAAGAAGGGGAGCGACCAGAGGCGGCTGTGATCATTTCGAGGAGTGACCCGTCAATGTCAGGGCAGGCCAACGTTCCCTCTTCGGCTGAGGAGAGGGCAAAAAAACTGGTCGTAGATGACTACGAATTCGGCTCTGATGTAGATCCTGAGGAGGTGAGAATAGATGGATCCTCTCACTCGATCGTAATCCCTTTGGACTGCGACTTGTTCGAGGATAGGGTGAGCATGGTCCCTTCCATTGCCTGACTTTGCTCTATCGCCGAGAACATAACTCTTGAGGCACTCAAGGATTCCAACATGTCACTAGGTATATCTGGGATGGCTCTGAGGGTGAGTTTCCTTCCTTATTATTTCTGCATTTCGCGTCCTTTTCCTCTTTCTATCTTTACTGATTTTTGGCTCTTTCTTTATCTTTTTCCTCTCCCTTCTTTTTTTAGACTTTAATTTTGGAGATCGAGAGCGCCCGTCGGGAGGAAAAGCAGAAGGTTGTTTTTCAGAAAATGGTTTCGAAGTACCTCCGGTATCGTGATAAGTACCGCGAGATACGTGTGTGGTTCAGAGCATGCAGCAACCTCCAATCTCTTAGGGAGGAGTTGGACCAGAATGACGAGGAGCTTGTGCGAACTATTGACAGATGCAGTGAGCTCGAGGGGTTGCTTTGGGACAAAGATGATGATCTCGAAGTGAGAAAGGGGGTCATGATCGAGTGCATCGATCTTCAAGCGCAGGTGGCATCTCTGCGAGCCGAGCTTGAGAAAAGCTCAATTAGAGTTGTTGTCTTGAGTGGTGAGTTAACTGAGAAAGCGGTAGAGTTGGAGGGGACCAAGGAGGCCCGGGTAGCGGAATTGGCAAAGGCAGCGGCATTAGAGGACTCTATCCACGTCCTCAGGTTTGAACGTGCAACTGATGCGAATTGGTGGGCTTGAGAAAGAGGTCTCGATCCTAAGTGAGCAAGTTGTTGTTCTTGAGGCTGAGAAGGCACGGTTGTTGGCTCGACCTTCTTCCTCTCATGTTTCCGCTCCCCGGTGTTCCTCGTGATTTATACGAGATTTGGATCCATGATATATATAGGAACTTGATGATGGAGGGGAAGGTTCCTGAGGCCGACTTCGAAGATGCTCGTGATAAAGCACGTGATGCTAGGCTTGCTTGTGGTAATGACCACGCTACGCCGAGGACCGGCGATGATGAAGAAGACTTGGAAGGCTTGCATCTGATGCTTGGTATGATGATGAGTATGTTGAGGGCGCGGGTGATAGCGGAGATGGTGCTGCTGGACCGGGCAGTGAATGTGGCGATGGCGCAGGCAGAGATGATGTAGTGTTGATACATATGTGCTTAGTTTTTGTTCTTTTTTTTTGGTGGGGGCGTCTTTCTGGACCTTTGTAAGATATTTTATTTTTGGAATGGAATGACTATGACTTTTTGCTGTATGTTCTTGGCCCTTTTTGCCTTTCTTCGAATGTTTTTCTTTGTAAAAGCTCTTGACTCTTAGTTCATTCGAACGAGGTCGAATGCTAGTTGATTCGAATAAGGTCGAATGTTAATCAATTCGAACGAAGTCAAATTTTAATCAATTCGAAAGAGGTCGAATGTGAGTCCATTCTAGCAAGGTCAAATATTGATTCTTAGTTAATTCGAACAAAGTCGATGTTAATTAATTCGAACGAGGTTGAATGTGAGTCGATTAGAGCGAGGTTGAATGTTGACTCTTAGTTTATTCGAACGAGGTCGAATGCTAATCAATTCAAACAAGGTCATATGTGAGTCTATTCGAGCGAGGTCGAATATTGACTCTTAGTTAATTCGAATGAGGTTGAATGTTAATCAATTCAGGTCAAATGTGAGTCGATTCAAGCGAGGTCGAATGTTGACTTTTAGTTGATCAAATGAGGTCGAATGTTAATTCGAACGAAGTCGAATGCTAGTTGATTCGAACAAGGTCGAATGTTAATCAATTCGAACGAAGTCGAATGTTAGTTCATTCGAATGAGGTCGAATGTTAATCAGCTCGAACGAGGTGAATGTGAGTCGATTCGAGCGAGGTCAAATGTTGACTCTTAGTTTGGCGTAATGTATAAACTTGGTAGAGAAATGAGAAACTCATGTGTTTGTGTATTTTGCTTTGTTTATACATTCATTGGAGAAGTTTACATGTTCTTGCTCTGTTCATGCATACATTGGAGAAGTCTCAGTCTATCTAGTCCCTTCATTGGTCGATCTGGAAAAGTAGTTGAGAGGTCGAGCGATGAACTTATACTTTAACTTCGAAACGCTCTCTTCGTAGCCTCGTTAAAAACCTCCCCAAGAAAACCCAATTGTGACAAAACTCGGGTGAGGGAAAAAGAGTACGACTCGGGAGACGTCCATCCTTAGAAGTTGAAGTATTTGAGGTGGGCGACGTTCAGTTTATTTGTTAGTAGTTTTCCCTCCATTGTTTCTAGCAGGAATGACCTTTTGCTTACCACCGCCGTAATTTTGTATGGGCCGTCCCAATTAGTTCCTATTTTGCCTTCATGTGGGTCCTTGCTTGCTTGTGTTTTGGCTTTGAGTACATAGTCCCCGACTTTGAGTGGCCTGACCTTGGATTTTTTGTTGTAGTAATGTTCTGCCTGTTGTTTTTGAGCTACCATTCTTATGTAGGCCATGTCTCTCCGCTCTTCGGCTTCGTCGAGGTCTTGCCTTCTGTTTTCAATCGTTGCTTGGCCCGCTCTCATTTGAATACTTTAGACTTGGTTCACCGACTTTGACCGGTATTACTGCATCAGTCCCATAGACTAGTGAATATGGTGTTTCTCCTGTGCTTGTTTTCAGCGTCGTGCGGTATGCCCATAGCACTTTCGGTAGTAATTCCGGCCACAGTCCCGTGGCATTCTCGAGCTTCTTTTTCATGATGTTCAATATTATTTTGTTGGAGGACTCCGCCTGACCATTGCCCGCAGGATGATATGACGTGGAGAGTATTCTTTTGATGTGCCATTTTTCAAAGAACTTGGTGGCCTTTTTCCCAGTGAACTGGGGTTCGTTGTCACAACTGATCTCTTTGGGGATGCCGAAGCGGCATATGATGTTTCTCCATATGAATGTGATTACTTCTTGCTCACGTATTTGGGCGAATGCACCTGCTTCTACCCACTTGGAGAAATAGTCAGTTAACACTAAAAGAAATCGTACACTACCTCGTTCCATTGGGAGGGGTCCGACGATGTCCAGTCCCCATTTGATGAAAGGCCACGCAAGGTGACTGAGTGGAGGTGTTCGCCCGCTTGGTGAATCATGATGGCGTATTTTTGGCATTGCTCGCACCTTCTGACAAAATTGGCGACCTCCTATTTAACCGTGGGCCAATAGTAGCATGCTCGTACGAGGCATCTGACGAGAGCTCGATTGCCGATGTGAGCTCCGCAGTGGCCTTCGTGTACTTCTTCGAGGACGCGCAACGTTTGATTCAGTCCTAAGCACTTTGCTGGGGGACTGCCAAACGTTCTTTTGTACAAGTCGTTATTGACGATGTTGTACCTGGCTGCTTGCATTCTAAGCTTCTTGGCTTCTTTTTTATCGAGTAGGAGCACTCCGTCCTGCAAGTATGAAATAATACGATTGCGCCAATCCCAAGTCATTGTTCGTACCTCGATCTGATCTATTGATGAATGGAGGAGAGTGACCACGTCTCCCTCTCCGGTTATACTTTTGGTGGCCATTGTCAGTTTAGCGAGGCCATCCGCTTCGATGTTCTGTGCTTGGGGTATTTGATTGAGCTAGCATTCGTCGAACTCGGGTAATAGTTTACAAAATTTTGGCCTTGTGTTTCTGTAGCCGTTGCTCCTTAATTTGGAAAGTCCCTATAACTTGGTTGACGACGAGTTGCGAGTCGCATCGAAGATTACTAACCATGCTCCGTACGTGAGTGCCAACTTTAACCCTATAATCACGGCCTCATACTCATCCTCATTGTTAGTCATATCAGGGCATCGTATGGACTGGCAAACTATCTCGCATGTTGGGACCTCGAGCGTGAGTCCTAATCCAGATCCTGATGCGTTAGAAGAGCCATCGGTATACAGAATCCATTGGTCGTGTATTTTGACGGAAGTACTGGCAGTTTCCCTTTCGACTTCGGGCATTATCTTCGCACTAAAGTCAGCGACGAAGTCGGCAAGAACTTGTGACTTTATCGCCGTTCGCGGATGATAGGTTATATCGTGCTTGCTCAGCTCTATGGCCCATTTGGCCAACCTGCCTGATAATTCGGGTTTGTGCAGGATACTCCTTAACGGAAAAGTTGTGACCACCGAGATGGGGTGGCACTGGAAATAAGGTATAAGCTTTCGTGAAGCTACGACCAAGGCCAGAGCTAGCTTCTCGAGGCGGGGGTACCTTATTTCAGCATCGACCAAAGTTTTGCTAATTAATAGATCGGAGATTGGGTACCTTTATTTTCTCGTACTAGGTCTGCACTTACTGCGACATCGGACACGATCAGGTAGACGGGGAGGCACTCTTCGGGTTCTGCCTTCGCAAGCAACGGTGGCGAAGACATGTAAGCCTTTAGTTTTCTTAAGGCGTCGATGCACTCGGAATTCCATTGGAGTCCATTATCCTTTTTAAGTACACCGAAAAATTTGTGGTACCTATCGGAGGACCGCGAAATGAATCTCAATAGAGCAGCTATCCGTCCAGTCAGCTTTTGCACTTGTTTCTTGCTGGTTAAATTCTCTGGGATTCCTTCTATGGCCTTGATTTGGTCAGGGTTGACCTCGATACCTCGCTGCGATACTAAGAAGCCGAGGAATTTTCTAGAGGTTACGCCGAAGGCGCATTTTTCTAGGTTCAATTTCATGCCGTGTCGTCTGAGTATGTCGAAGGCCTCTCTCAAGTGGTCGATATGGTCTTCCTTCTTTTTTGACTTGACCAATATAACATTGATGTATACTTTCATGGTCTTGCCGAGTTGTTCTTTGAACATTTTGGTCACTAGCCTTTAAACATTTTGGTCACAAGCCCCGAGTACTGCGCATTCTATGTCAGATTTGTGCAAACAAGGAAATACGGGATTTTTCAAGGTTTTGTGCATTTTTATAGATCTAGAAGAAACTAAAATTTTAACTAGAAGGTCCCCACAGACAGCGCCAAATTGTTTGACCAAAAAGTGTTAAACCTTTTTGTTAAATTAATTAAATAAAATGATAATGAGCAAATTCTAGTTAAATATAATAAATCCTAGATCCGAGATTAATAGACGTCAATAATGTAAAACCGCATTCATGACTATTAAATACCAAGGGGGTGTTTAATGATATTGTTACGAATGAATGAGGGAATAAAGACAAGTAATAAATATGATAAATGGTAATAAATGTAAATAAAGAGAATGATTCATCCAAATATTCAATGAGGTGGATGATTCTCTCTTTGACAATGATGTAAGGCAATCAAACGTGGGAATATAGAAAGCTTTCTCGGATTTGATGTGAGAAAACTTGGGACCAACAACAAATCGAATCTTTTGTAAAGACAATGTTTGTAGTTACTTGAGAGTCAACTTTTTCTACAGAGAGCTTATAATATAGAATATTACCTATCCCTCCCTTCTCCCTCTATTCCTACTTATATGAGACATTTCCCCCACCTAACTGAAAGTACAAGTGCAGAAAATATTCTTTTAAAATATCTTATTACTAAACTAGCCGTTTGGGCCGGTTTGAGTGCTCGACCTCGACCTTAACTGCTCAGCTCACCAATATGTTATTCCTTAAGTGTGACTTCAGTCTAATCAGCTCTTAGTTACCCTCTCTTAGACAAGATTATTCTGATCAGATTTTGACCCATACTCTGTGAGCATAGGCTAAACATATTTTACGGTGTTGCATCTATCGTTTAACACAATAAAAAAAAATAACAAATATATAGACTTTCAATAATTATGTGGCAATAGGAAAAAACCCGAGAAAATATAGAAGCACGCTGGAAATTGTACTCATGGTTGAAGACATGAGACTCATCCATCACCGAAAAAGATAGGTAACAAAATGACACGATAGCACATATCAGCATTTGTTCCAATCAGCAATCTTTAAATATATTTTAAATTATAACGTATTCTATCCGTTTTAATTTATATTACACGATTTTTTTATTAGTTCATTTAAAAATAATAATATTTTAACTATAAATTTTTATTTATTTTTAATCATAAACTTTTATAACCTCATAAATATTACTCCCCGTTCCAATTTACGTGAATCTGTTTGACTGGATAATTTAGATAATTTTTTTTTAAATTTCATACTGAGACAAGTTACGTCACATAAACATAAAATTAAATACAAGTAGCACTAAGGTTATGGATTAGGCCACAGGATCCTTCGTTTTTCCACCCCTGAAGGCTCCTTTGAACCCTCTTCTCATCTCAATGGAGTCTCAAATTTATGACCTTTATAACAATCCTCCACACTCTCTTTTTCCACTCAACTCAATATTCTCCAACTTTGAATTCTTTCAAGAATTTGAACATTATAACTGAAATGAGATTCTCCAACTCTTTCCTCATTTTATCAGAAGATGAAAAATGGCCTCAGCACAAGAGAATTGCACACTTGATTTGATAAGATAGCATCTTCTTGATGATGTTGCTTTTATGGAATATTACTGCTCCGAAACCGAAAGTACCACCCTTTATCCCCAAAGCTCCTCCTCTTATGAATATCTTGACCAGAGTTTCTCTTTTGAACCAACTCTCGACTATGGCAACACATCACAAAGTTGCAGTCTTGAAATCTCAAGCTTCTTTGACAATTCAGAAACAGAGCTTGGGACAAAGCCAAACGTATCAGCTGCTCGTATTAGTTCAATTTCTCAGAAGCAAAGCTTCAAAGAACGCAAGCCTTCTTTGAACATTGCATTACAGAGGAGTTAGGCAACGGCCATGGGGCAAGTTCGCAGCAGAAATTCGTGACCCGAACCGAAAGGAGACTCGGGTTTGGCTAGGAACCTTTGACACTGCCTATGACAGGGCGGCGTTTAAGCTTAGAGGCAGCAAAGCAATAGTGAATTTCCCTCTCGAAGTTGCAAACATTAAGCAACAAGATGACGAGATTCAGTCATTGGGGAACTCAAGCAGGAAAAGGGTGAGAGGAACAGAGAAGGAGGAGCAACTAGTTATCAACAAGGAAATGAAAATAGAAGAAGAAAGAGTCCCGACGGCTCCGTTAACGCCGTCAAGTTGGTCGGCGATTTGGGACAGTGGAGATGGGAAGGGTATATTTGAGGTGCCGCTGCTTTCCCCATTGTCTCCACATATGGCTTATTCTCAGCTTGTTATTATATAATCGAAAGGACACCGGACTGGTATAATAGAAGATGTGTAGAAGAGGGGTGGGTGTCTTTGAGTCTTGAATTCTTTTCAATTTCATTGATTAAGAGTTATTTCTTGTAAATATGCAATCATTCAAAAAAATTGTTCACTTCATCTATTCAATTTATAAAATGGAATTCTGAAACATATGATCAATTAGATTGTCTCTGGCAACCTAACTGCTGCTGAAAGGATATTTCTTCTCTCTTAAAAAAAAAATTCTATCTTCCTGATCAAGTGATTTTGTCTAATTTCGATCAATTTCATCTAGTGTTCCATCGAATTTGATCAAAAGTCATCCCCCTCGCACTATTCAGTTGAAACTATTTTGTGTTATTTTATTAAGCTACTCTGAATTCTTGAACTTAATTACCAGTAAAAATAGAGTTTTACATCCACACAGAAATAATAATAATAATAATATTGTTTTAGCCTAAATTCTATATATATCTAATAAGAAATCCATTAACTATACAAATATATTAAATTTCGAATCAGTTATTAACACTAAGGATTTTAGAACTCATAATATTAAAATGCTTGATCCGTCACTTCTTTCTTTGCCAGTTGCAAGAGCAAGAAAGAAGGATGAAACTCCTCTCCATTTCTCATCTTCTCCTTGACAGAATTGTGACATTTGTTTTATGTATATATATCAATTGCTTAGATTTATTTTCTTCCAGCACTAGTTTTAACCATGTTTTTAATAGGTAGCTGTTATTATTATTTTAGAAAAAAGGTACTGTCTAATTTTGGTAAGAAATCTTCATCTCACAAAATTTTGCAACCATTAAATTTAAAAAGCTTCCATGTATACTTCAAATGTTATATATAAATTGATGAGATCATGGAATACTTCACAATAAAATCACAAACTAAGCAATTGAAAGAATAATTTTTGTTAACGTCTACGGAAAATGGGTTGCATAATTTCTGCCTAAACTAAAAAATTACCGCAACATTTAACCAAGCATTTCATCTCCTAAAAACGACTACTAATTGAACAATTATAATCCCCCACCCTTTTTAATCATTGGAATTTTATTAATATAAAACAATGGTCATAAAATTAAGAATAATTTTGACAAGAAAGTCAATTCGAAAAATAAAACAGATGCCCTTAAATATACTTATTCAAAATTTAGAACTTAGAAAATACTCCCTCCGTACTATTTTGGCATTTTCACGTCCCTTAAAAAATAATAAATATAATATGTAATTTACCATACAACCCCTAATAATGATAGCCTTTCAAAAAATCTTGAGAAATAAGTTTGAAAATGAGTAATTAATTATGAGGGTAAAACAGGAAAAAAAGATTATCTTTCTCTTGATTTAGTATAATGAACAAGTAAAATTGAAAATACATTTTTAGTATAGTGGACAAATAAAAGTGAACAGAGGGAGTAATTTTTATTAGCAAATTAGAGAGTACCTTTTTTTTCCTAAAATAGTAATAACATCTACCTATTAAAAACATGGTTAAAACTAGTGATGGAAAGTAAATCAATTTGGGCCATTGATTGATATATACATAAGACAAATGTCATAAATAAATATATAAAAGAAGTTGGGGAAATGGAGAAGATCAGAAGACGAGAAATGGAGCTACAGTATAAGTTAATTTCGCGCAGCATGGAAAGCTTGACTGTCAGTTGCATGATAATGCTTGCTTGCCTTATTGAAGTTGATGTTGCATGCAAGTCAAGTATGCTACTACCTATATCATATTATTACTCCTCTTTTATTTTTTAAGAAAATTATCCAAACAATAAAGTCAAGTTATCAGGTCCTTTGGTCAATTCACGTGCTGTGTTTTATGTTAACTGCTACGTACCAGCAGCTGGTATAATTAATTGCGTACGTACTTATAATATGGCTTAGAAGACATATATTTCCTCCTTTCCAAAATTTAAGAAAGAAATGTAAATTCTTGAAACGTGTGGTTTTCTATGACAAATGTTAGATATTTAATCTCTATAAATCATCTCGCAAATTGGGATAAAAAGGTACAAACATTTCATATGTAACTGACTAAAAAGAAAAGTATACCGTATAAACTGAGATAGAAAAAATAATAACTAATCCTCTTCATACGTGAAATAGACCCCTTTATGAATACAGTAGTAAGGCGTCGAGCTACCTTGAAAGGTACAGAGTTTTTACCAAAAGTCCAAGCTAAGTTCATTTTGTGCGATGTGCAGTTTAATTGCCATATATAGTACAGCCTCTCCGTTAATATCTTCAATATGTCATGATTTCATCATTGTTTTGCTGATTTATTGTATCCTATTCAAATTTTTGTCACTTTTTAATAAATAAATTCTGGTCGATTACTTCACACCTACATAGTCTCAGAGGCATTTTTCTATAGAAAGGTCAGTTCTGATTGTATCGAACACATTGATGAAATTTAACGGATGATGTCAGATTAATTGTTATTACTTTAATCACCAATTACTATTTAAAATTTATTAAGAGATTTATTTATAATCACCTGATAAATAACTTAATTTTATAAATATGTTTTTCACCATAAAGCATAAACTAAAAAGAGAAAAAGTAGAGAGAAATTAAAGAAGTAGGCTGGTAATTGGACTCTTACGGCTTGTTCGATACGAGGAGTAAAGGATAATTAGTCCTGAAATTAACTTTGAGATGAGTTTATTCTATTTTAATTGGGATAAAATCGCACTATGAATAATCTCGAGATTAATAATACCAAAATTTTAATGATATTTTTATTACAATTCCAGAATAATTAATCGGGACTAAAGTTTCCCCGACCAAACGACCCCTTATAGACAAAAGACCCATCCATCAACGAGAATAGAAAAAGTAACAAAAGGACAAAACTTTGTTCCAAAGCGGCAATTAAATAGTAAAATATATGTTAGCCATAAACAACGAGTAGCACAATAAGGTTTATGGATTAGGCCATATGATGCTTCGTTTCTCCATCCCCGAAGGCTCCTATGAAACCTCTTCTCATCTCAAATTTCTGACCTTTATAACAATCCTCCCCACACTCTCCTTTTCCACTCAACCCAATATTCTCCGCCTTTGAATTCTTTCAATAGCTGAAATTAGATTCTCCAACTCTTCCCCTCGTTTTGATTAGAAGATCAAAAATGGCATCACCACAAGAGAATAGCACTACACTTGATTTGATTAGGCAGCATCTTCTTGATGATAATGTTTTCTTGGAACATTACTGCTCCGAAACCGAAACTACCACCCTAATTTATTCCCAAAGCTCCTCGTCTTCTGAATCTCTGGACCAAAGTTTCTCTTTTGAACCAACCCTCAACTATGCCACCACAGCACAAAGTTCCAATCTTGAAGTCTCAACTTTCTTTAATAATTCAAAAACAGAGTTTGATAGCTTCGAGTTTGGGACAATACCAAATGTGTCAGCCGCTCGTTCGAGTTCTCTAAAGCAAACGAGCTTTAAAGAACGCAAGCCTTCTCTGAACATTGCAATACCAGTGAAGCAGGAGGTTGTTCAGAAAGTGGAACTAGCTCCAACCGAGAAGAAGCATTACAGAGGAGTTAGGCAAAGGCCGTGGGGAAAGTTCGCGGCGGAAATTCGTGACCCGAACCGAAAGGGGACTCGGGTTTGGCTAGGAACATTTGACACTGCCATAGAGGCGGCCAAGGCATATGACAGGGCGGCGTATAAACTTAGAGGCAGCAAAGCTATAGTGAATTTCCCTCTCGAAGTTGCAAACTTTAAGCAAGAATTTAATAATGAGATTCGGCCATTGGTGAACTCAAGCAGGAAAAGGGTGAGAGAAACAGTGAATGAGGAGCAACTAGTTATCAATAAGGAAATGAAAATAGAAGAAGAAAGAGTCCCGACGGCTCCACTAACGCCGTCAAGTTGGTCGGCGATTTGGGACAGTGGAGACGGAAAGGGAATTTTTGAGGTGCCGCCGCTATCACCATTTGGAGCCTATTCTCAGCTTGTGATGATATGATCAGATAAGGAATGATGATATAGATTGAGGTGTTAGTATTTGGTAGATGAAGAATAAAATATTGCACCTGACTGTAAGAAGTCTGTGGTGATTAATTTCTCACCAAAAAAAAAAAAAAAAAAAAAAAAAAAGAAATATGGGGGAAAAGCTACGGGAATTAGTATTCAAATGGTGATAATGAAGATGGTGGGCGTCTGGTCTCCTCCTTAATTCTTTTGATTAAATTGTTGTTGTTTATGTAAAAACGTCAGTCAAAAATCTGTTTGATTGTTTATTCATTTCTAAGAACTACAATTATGAAAGCGTTGTTATAAACTATGTATTTAGACTCAAAAAGAGTACTAAAATATATTACACATATATATTACAACATTAAGTTGCAGCGCATCCCATAGTCCGTAGTAATGTGATGAATACGCGAATCCGACTCAGTATTAATAGTTCTTCTAATCATCGATGGCAAGGCAAAATTTTAAGTGTGTATACTATGTAACTCACAAAATTAGCTCAATTAATTAGCTGATGATATGTTACATTAGCACTGAATCAAAATCTAATTAATGAGTTGTCCAACATGACCAATTGCTTATGTTCCGATGGAACTCCTATATATTGTTTCATCCATTTAATATGCCATCATCTGAGTCTTATTCGAGGAAATAGGTTTGCCTTCGTGGCCATTTACAATGTTAAAATTAGAAAGTGTCATTTTTAGATTTTTTATGTATAAAAATAAAATTTTTATGTGTAAGAAAAGAAATATGGTCATAAAACTAAAAATAAGTTTATAAAAGTCCACAAAACCATATAATCTGTTGTATTCCACGAAGTGACAGTTTTAATTGGAATATTATTGTCATCCACAAAAGTTTCACGAATTATTTTCATAAGTTCGACAAGTCAATAGCACTCGGGAGCCACGTACTTTATAATCCTAGTACGTAATCTAGTTAGTCACTTCAACTGACTTTACGTTTTCTGCATCTTGTACTACTATGATTATGTCTTTTGTTGGTTTTTATAAGCTACATTACAAAGTTGTGGAAATCTCAGTATTCAATAAGACTATCAATAACCAACTCAAAATAACATAATACTAAGGGTGAGTTTTGGTACGTACGAAAATATTTTCCATGGAAAATGAGTGGTTTATCACTTATTTTTCTTTGTTTGGTTGGTGAGTGAAAAAAAAATTTCGAAAAATATCTTTTAGTGTTTCGTCAGAAAATACTCCATAACTAAAAAGAAAATACTTTTTTTTTTGGTTGAAAAAAAAAGTACTCTTTCTACAACATGAAAATATAAAGTATTCATTTTGTTGAAACGAAAGAAAATATTTTTTTTACATCATGAAACGAAACTTTTTTTTGAGGTTAAAATACAAAAAAAAAAATACTTCTTGTATATCATAAAAAGAAAATACTACTTTATTGAAATGAACNGTGTCGGGGTGGGTTGGTGGGAATGGGGGGAATAGAGTAGGGAAGGTTGAAAAAGAGTTTGAAAAATATTTTCCCTTTTCTTGATACGGAAAACATTTTCCTCCAATTGGAGGAAAATGAGTTTATAAGGAAAATATTTTTCAAAATATTTAAGTCAGCCAAACATGAAAAAATTGGAAAATCTCTTTCGGAAAATATTTTCTTCATACCAAACACACCCTAAGATTTAAGAAGAATGACTAACTAGTCCAATATATATATATGAAAGTACAAGAGAAGGGGTGAATTGTAATTTTTTTCTTTTCTTTTACAAGATAGTTGACTAATTTACTTTCTAGTCGACTGGATTCTTGATGCGAAATAGATATAAACAAAGTACAGAAAAATAAATAGCAGAAAGTAAATGACACCCGATGTTTTATACTCGTTCAGATTCAATGTGAATCCTACGTCTAGTCCTCTTGGGTTGCAACGGATTACTCTTTCAAGTATTTGAAATCTTTGATACAGGTATGTTGATGTTGTTATACCCCAACAGCTTCTTCACGATATTAGTTCTTTTCTTGCTTCTGATACAATGCCTTACTAGTGATTCTTTTATCTCTTTCTTCTCTCCCTAGTTACACAGTAAATCTAGTATAGACTACAACGTTTATTTTGGAGTAGAACAAAAAGATCGATAGTGGTCCGATCAAAGTATATTTTTCCGTTGTACCTCTTGTTGTATATATGTGATTTGAATGTCAGTCTTCTCGATGTGACAAATCTTTAGATGGTGGGCAACCCAAGAGAGTTGATCCTTATAAGCAATCCAGATTGATTTCTTCCAAGAATAATAAGAGGGTAGCACTTGGTCTGTTGCTTCCATGATTGATTATTCCCCGCAAGTCGTTGCTTCCTTGATAGATGTGATTGATTATCCTCCATGCAGATTGATTGATATGCCTTCCGTAAATGACTGAAATCAAATATTTGATCTCTTTGATGCTCTTAACTATGGCATGATTGATTCCTTAATCTTTACTTCTAGATCTTCAGTAGAATCTTGATTTATTCTTTATTTGACTCTTCCACTTTGCTTTCTGACTTCCTTCTTTGGAGTTGTTTTCCTGCAATAGAAGTAAGTTATTTTTTATCATTAAAATCTTTATCTAACAATTTGATGAGGACAACATAACTTAAACCATTATACTTCCCTGTTTATTTCGTCTTCAGTCAGCTCCCCCTCTACTTGATGTCAAGTCTTTTGAGTCGGCTCATGTAACGATCCAATCGGTCGTTTTAAGCTTTAGCGTTCTATTCAGTGGTTTTGAGACTTTGAGTAGCTTCATATTATATATTATGACTTGCGTGTATGGCTGGTTTCGATTTTCGACCGGTTCGGGATTGATTTGGAAAAATAATTCTCGTTTTAGAAGCTTTAAGTTGGAAGATTTGACCAAGATTTGACTTTTGGATAAACGGACTCGGAATCGAATTTTGATTGTTTCGATAGGTTCGTATGATGATTTTGAGCTTGTACGTAAGTTCAAATTTGGTTTTGGAGGTTCCTAGAAGAATTCGACACTATTTGTCGAAAGTTGACAATTTGAAGAACTTAAAAGTTCATAAATTTGACCAAGAGTTGACTTTGATGTTATTGGACTCTAATTGGTGTTCCAAGAATTTGAATAGGTCTAGATAGTTGAATTGAACTTGTATGAAAAGTTTGAAAGTAATCCGAAGTGTTTAAGTGTGATTCGGATACTCTTTTGAAAGAATGAAGATTTAACAACTTAAGAGAATTCTATTCAGTTTGAGCCTCGATTCTTTGTTGTGATGTTCCCGTGGGTATTTTGAGGCTTTGGATAAGTTTGGATGATATATTTTTACTTTTTGGTATGATTGGATGGGGTCCCAAGGGGCTCGAGTGTGTTTTGAATTATTGGTTGAGAAACTAGTTAAGTTAAGAATTTGAAGTTTGACCATGGTCAATATTGGGTCAAGATGACCTCTTTTTGGTATTTTGAGTGCGCGAGCAGGTTCGTAGCGTATTTTATGATTGAAATGCTTATATGGTTTGTATCTGGTAGGTTCCGAATGAGTTTTGGGTGCTAAAACGAAGATTTTCTTATTGTTTTTTTTTTTCTGGTGTAAGTAATTATAAAAATGCCATTTATGTCCCTGAAATTTTCAGATTTCTTTTAAACTTCAAAATATCATATCTCCCTCATTTTAAGGCCAAATTGGGTGATTCAAGAGGTTATCTTGGGTGTAATCTCGCAAGGATCAAGTTGGGATTATCAAACGTGAGTTTCAGGATCAATTTAGTTATTTTTTCTCACTAAGGTTTTGGAGCTCGATTTTGGGAGATTTTGGAGAGAATTTTACTACTTGGATTGGGTAAGTATTTTTTTACTTGGATTTGTTATTATTTTATAATTCCAACCTCGATTTTAGTGTTTGATTAATGATTTGAATTGGAGAAATTAGGAATTTTAGTAAAAACTTTCTAAAATATAAATTGATAGTTTGAAGGTCTATTTGACATTGGAATTGAATGATTTTGGTATGGGTGAACTCGCATCAGAATGGTTATTCGGAATTTGTAAGTTTTATCGGGTTCCAAGGTGCGGGCCCGAGGTTGACTTTATGGGTGGACTTTTTGATTTTAGTTAAAGATCAAATCTTTATTATCCAAAATTATTTCCTATGAATTTTATTCATGATATTAAATTATTTTGACTAGGTTTGAGGTGCTCGGAAGTGAATTTACGTGGGAAGGGCTTATTAGTAGATTGATTTAGCTTGTTTGAGGTAAGTATCTTTCCTAACTTTATGTGGAGGAAACTACCCCTTTGGATTTGGGTTGTTTGCATTAATTGAATTATGTGGGAGACGTATACACGAAGTGACGAGTGTGTACACGGACTCATATGTGGTATTTTGATTGGTTTAGACTCTTAGGCTTCTTTCATACATTTAATTAAAATTGTCATATCATGTTATATCTTTGATTGTTTAGTTTATTCTTACATGCCTTGTTTGACATTGTTAGTACATGTTCTATCTCGTATTGTCAAATTTTCTTTTATATGCCTTAATTGAAGATATTGTCTCTCTTATTGTCATGTTACCTCCTTTATTATTGAGTTATTCTTATTTGGAGTTGTTATTACATGAAGTCTCTTCGTGTTGAGTTATCTCATACATTTAGACGTAGTTACTATTTCATAGTCTCTTTCATTGTTAAGCTTATGTTATACATTTGAATTGGAAATTTTCATTTCGTGGACTTTAATTTTGAGTTATTGAAGTTGAAGTCGTGAAAGCTATTAGCACATTGAGGTTGAGGTTGTTGATTATTGAGATATCTTTTCTTGTTGAGTATTTCTCGTTCATTTATTTACTTTGAGATTCTTGTATACATTGTGGTTGAGCCGCAGGCTATGTGCTATGGTAATGTTGATATTATTGATTTTGGAAAGTTGTGGTATATGGGTACGTGTGGTGCGAGATGTTATTGTGTTATGAAATTGATGCACATACGGCGGTATAAGGATAGGGGTTGATGTGCATGCATCGATATAAGGTGGGATTTATGTGCGTGTTTCTAGTAAGGGAATTACTTGAAGCCACGCGGTGACATAAGGGGGCTAAAGCGCATGTAGCTTTCTTGGGAAAAATATTTTTAAAAATCTAAATGTAAGGCTCACGCGGCGATATAAGGAAAGATTGTGATTGTGATGGCGATTTGTGAAATATGAGTATGAGGTGTGGTACCTAGGTGTGAATTTGTTGTACATTCTACATTTGAAAGACTTGTTGGTTTGAAGGGTTATGATTTTTCCTTAAATCATCTCACTTGTATTTCGATTGTATTTGGTTATTTGTTGTTATTTTTGTGTGGGAATG